AAGCACCATGCAGCAGGCAGGTACATACTACACAGCAGCTACTCTCTCAAGCAAAATATCATACTTCATGTCCTTGTTATGAAAGACTGAGACAAACAAATGGTTGAAGAAGAACACATCTGTGACTATATTTTTTAAAAGAAAAATTACCAAGGCAATCTGGTCCATAAGTTCCAGCTGGGCAACAAACTTCTATTGTTTCTATGCAAAACCACTTAAACAAATCAGGATACTTCTTCTTTCTGTGTATGAAAGACATTCATTTACAAATTAAAAGAATTACATTTTTTAACAGTCAACTAACAAAAATGAACCTGCACACTGTCATCCAAAAAATCTGTTGTATATGACATGAGATTAGAAACCTATGTTTTCTCTTCTGAAATTACGACTACCTTATTTCAGGAACCAACTACTACGAGTCCCCCTAGTAACTGGAAGACTTTTTAATGTAAGTTTTTGTTTGTTTGTTTTTTAATTTACTATTTGTTACTAGACTCTACCTAAATTTTATATTTATGAAAAAGTGAAATATGACCAACAAAATGACTTCAATGTCACCTTGACCCCCCTCCTTTTTTTTTTTTTTTTTTTAAGCACCTTACCTTAAGGGAAAATTCGTAAATAGTTTAAACAGTCATATTTATATATTCCTCTTAAAGATAACAGTTGTGTGCTTACCTCAACTACATGGAAGAGAACCCAGGACAGATATTAACATTTGTTCAACTTATAGCCAACCTGACTTCATGGTAAGGTGCACATTAAAATTCGTCTTCCTATTTTTACTTTTTTTAGCACGAATCAAGTAATATTTCAGAAAGATTTTTTATATTAAGATATTATAGTTATGTGATACTCTAGCACTAGAGTATACACCTGATTAATAATAAAATCACTAAGTATTATTTTGCAAGCAAGCACAAGGACTGCTGCAGTTTCAAATGACAAACAAAAGATCTCGGTATCACACAGACACTAAATTCCAGAAACTTAACAAAGGAAAGCCATAAGGAAGGTTTAGAAATTATGAAGTCTGAAAGAAGTTATGTCTTCAGCAACTCCTGTGGCATGTACACCTTCTCCTTCTAAACTATTAGAGCTGATTGTATTCACTCCAAGGCCCAGACCCTGAAAAGTAAACCTACTGAGACCTTGTTAAAAAAGATTTAAGGTATCCATAGCCAAAGAAACTGTCTTTGGAAACTCACAATCTGAATGACATTTTTAGATTAAAGGACAGAAGGCAAAATTGATCAACTGCACTCAACAGATCTCTTAAATAAGGAAGCTTTCCAAAAAACAATGTTTTTTTTTGTTTGTTTTTTTGGTGTTTTTTTTTAGATTTTAGGAAGTCTACTTGGTCAAATTCTCTATTTAAGATCAGTTTCTTTCAGTCCTGCAAATTTTAGAGCATTCTCTGAAGCAGTCTTGTTTGATCTAGCTTGCTTAACTCCCCTTTCCTTAGTTTGACTGTTAAATGTATACTCAGTACCGCACAGCAAGGTAGAAGTATGAAGCAATAAAGCAAACATTAAAAAAAATGGATTATCAAAAATCCTTATCCAGTGATGAAGTAATTCATGATAGTTCACCCTATTGAATTACACCTGACTGGAGGTTGTCCACCTCTGCAGGGGACACAGAAAAAGTAGATGAGCTACTCTCTACATGAATTTCCAGCTCCTTCATCCACATTGTATGATCCCCAACACAAACCACTCAGTATCACTACCTGATAGTCACGTATTCCAATACCAAAAGCATTCCTATACCATGAAAACAATACAGGGACTGGAAAAATCTTGATCTAGTACCTTATCAACTCAAGGTAATAAAAAGAACACCCACTTAATGATTTTGTTATCTCTGAATAAGAGAATGAGTATTACTCACTTTGAGTAAACAAAATATCCTATCAAGCTTTCTTTTTCATCCAAAATGTGTATAGATGTTCTCTTAACTTTCTGCTGTTGTATAGCTGAACACTACTTTCATTCAGAAGTGGCTGCAATTAGCAGCACTGAATTAAATTTGGAATGCACAGCTCCGAGTTGCCTCGTGATGACTCTTGGAACCTCCACAGCTACCTGTACTCTGCAATTGACAGGAGAATAAAGTGGACTTATAATTATACACTTTCCATCTCTGTGCTACAACGAATATATTCCTATTGACCAGGTACCAAATATACCGTTAATATTTCATCCTCTTTGATGTTTATCAGCACAGAGATCTACACAGAAAAATTGATACTTACAGTTTGAACCACCATTTCTCTATATGTTCCTCATGCTCCTCTACCATGTTGTTACATTCAAAGTTACTGCTGTCACAGAGATTCTCTATGATCTCTACAAGACGAATTTCACTACAAGCAGAGAAGAAAAGTCATGATTTTAATTTTAAAATATTACTTGGCACCACACAAAACATGTTACAGAAGCTAGACTTCAGCCTAAGATACTTTATCGGTTTAGAGTGTGTTCTGAACTAGTTCCAAGACAAAGCAAATATAGTAAAGTTCATTAGTTCTTTATTCTGGTAACTAAGAAGATTAGGACAACCACAAGAAAAGCTTCAGCTTGCTTGCACTTATGCTTGCAAACTGTACGTTGATAAGAGTTTTCTAACAAGCTCAACAGTAAAATTTAGGTATTGCTAATATACGATAAAAGCCCATGTAGCTGGACAGTAACTGAGGTTCAGAAATCCCACCCTTGTTTTTCAGTATTCCAATTAAGAATAAAAACTGAATTTGAGATACTGCTCAGTCATCAAACATAAATGAAAAGGAGTACAGTAATCTTAGCCTGAACAGTTTCCTATTCAGTGCTAAAATACTGAATACGGAGCTGTTACTGCTTTAATTCTAAACCAAGTACTGCAGTACACTAAGATATGTACATCCCTTTTAAGACAAACAATTAACTATGGACCATTATTTAAAACTGTCACTTTAGGACTCCACTGGGTAAATAAAAAATACCATGACCAACAATGGTATTCACTTTTGTTGTTTTCAGAAGCAATACAAATCAAAGTGTTAACAAGGGATGTCAATCTTCATTTTAAACTGCAGATACAATGTAATCTGCTACATTTTAGTCAAAATGAATTCAGAATTTGGACATATGAAACATTAGCTGCTACATTCAATATTCAAGTACCAGATGAACACCAGTTCTGCAAAGTTACATGCAGCAGACACGAAACGCTACTGAAGCTGAAGCGCTGAGACAGTTTACCTGGACTCATACTTCGACAACGTCTTCTCTTCCCAGGCAGTATTTCCACCACCAAAGTTCTTCTTTGCAGTATCTGCTAATCCCTGGTAAGCGAAAAGCACCAAAAGAATTTAAGTAATATAGTTTGTTTCTAACAAAAGTGAACAGCAGCATTAAACACTTCTATGTCATTGCAGAAACTTCAGTAAAATTCTGAAGCTGACGATCAAATTGTTCAATAAAAAAAAAAAAAAGCATCTTGCGCTATAACACATAGACATGACTATGGGAGAGTCTTAACTTATTAGGAACTTTATTAAAAAGTCAAATGGGCCCTCTGCTTCATTCCATTTTGATAGTATTTAGCCCAAACTTTGCTATGTTGTAACTTTAATATGTAAAAAGGCAACAATAATTCGGTGTGACCTGCACACCTTCCTGAGTTACAGCCAGTACTCCTCTAAATATGCCTTGTAAAAAAAAAAAAACAGAAGTTCAAGCATACAACAGCGAACACAAGCACAAAAAGTATTAAGTATCTGTCCCAAGCTACAGAGGTCCCTTGCTGCCTCTGCCACAATGCAAGATTGTTGCAGGTGACAACATGCAGAGAATTGTAGAACCATTAGAGTTGGAAAAGGCCTCCAAGACCATCTGGTCTAACCATCCCCCAAGCACCACTACTGCCCACTAAACCATGTAACTAAGCACCATGTCTAACCTTTTCTTAAACACCTCCAAGGACGGTGACTCCAACACCTCCCTGGGCAACCTGTCCCAGTGCCTGACTGCTCTTGCTGAGCAGAAATGGCTCCTCATTTCCAACCTGAACCTCCCCTGGAGCAACTTGAGGCCATTCCCTCTGGCCCTGTCACTATATCCCTGTGAGAAGAGGCCGACCCCCAGCTCCCCACACCTTCCTTTCAGGTAGCTGCATGAGAGCAATAAGGTCTGCCCTGAGCCTCCTTTTCTCCAGACCAAACACCCCCAGCTCCCTCAGCCGCTCCTCACAGGACCTGTGCCCCAGGCCCCTCACCAGCTCCGCAGCCCTTCTGTGGCCACACTCCAGGGCCTCGATGTCCTTCTGGCAGCGAGGGGCCCAACTTTTAGGGCACGGTGCCCTCCACCAACACCCTACCCCACACCCCACACCACGAGCCCCTCCCTCCCCATTAAAACACCAAAACCACCCCGCGGCTGGAACCCCACCTCGGCACCACCCCCACCCCGCACCTGGTTGAACCTGTCCACGATGCCCCGGCAGGTGGAGCACGCCAGGCGGCGCCGCTCACCGGCGGCAGGGAGCGGCGGCAGCAGCACCACCAGGGCCAGCAGCAGCAGCAGCAGGGCCGGGCGCGGCGCGGGGCCGGACCCCATGGCGGGGCCGGGGGGAGCCCGCAGCCGCCTCAGCGCCTCAGCGAGCGCCAAGCGCCTCAGCCCGGCCCGCCCGGCGCGGCTTGGCCCCGCCCCGGCCACCGTAGCAACCGGGGAGGCAGCGGCCCGCGAGCCCCATTCGGATTTCCGCGTCAGCCGCCCGCACGCTCGGCCCGCCGGCGCCCATTGGTGGAGGCAGCGGAGAGGAGGGACGTGGTCCAACCGGCGCCCGCCACGCTGCGGGCCAATCGGAGCCCCCCGCGTGCGCTGGGAGCCGGGGGTGGCGGGGTGGCGCCCAGCGGCTGAGCGCCGCGTCGCCATGGTGGGTGAGGGCAGCCGTGCTCCCCGCGCCGGCTTCAGAGCTGGCCGCCATTTCTCCTCGGCGGCTGCTTCTGAATAGAGGGGATGCGTGTGGGGTTCGGGGGGGCGGGGCGGAACGTGCTGTGCCCTCACCTAACATGGCCGCCGGGGGCGGCGGGTCACGTGGGCGCGGCGTCCCTCATCCCCGTTCCGGCGGCGCCCGCTGTGAGGCGGCGGCAGCGAGTGAGGGACGGGGCCGGGACACGGGGGGGCGGAGGGGGGAGGGGGAGGGCAGCGGCCGGCCGGCCCCGCCCTGGGCTCAGAGCGGGCTCCTGCAAGCGGGTCCCTGAGGTGGGCCGGGGTGGGGGGGCGGCCCCCGAGGCGTTCCCCGGCTGTGCGGGGCGCGGCGGGGGGGAGGTGAAGGCGCGGAGAGAGGCCTGGGGGCGCGGGGGCTGCGGTCTCAGCTTCGCGATTAGCGCTGGGGGCGCACGGACCGGCTGCAGGCGTCCGCTGTGTGGCTGCTGAGCAAGGCAGAGGGCCTCCAGCACAGAAGGAAGGTGTTAATTGCTAATTAGGGCTGTCACGTGTGGCACGCAGCGCCCTTCATTAAGGGTTTGCTCTGTTCACAGCTCAGTAGCCGCGACGTCGCTGCACCTCGGTCACTGACGGCTGAAGGAAGGAGGAGAGAGCCGGGCGGCTGCAGGTGGCCCGGCCCCGCGCGCTGCTCCCCCCCGGCTGACACAGAGGTAGGCTGGTGCCCGCCGCCGCCGCTAGAGGGGGGCCGCAGGCTGTGTGGATGGCCTCGGTGGTCACCCAGCGGCAGGGCGGGTGGGGGGCGGGTTGGTGGGTTGGTTTTTGCTGGTTGGTTTTGGAATCTGTAGCATTCTGGGTCATCTCCTCAGTCCCAAGAGTTAACGTCTTCTGCGTAACTGCGTAGTGCCTTCGTGGCTGGTACTGTCACAGTCTTCGTTTCTTGGCTGAAATTTCTCATCTCCGTTGCTTTTTCTTCCTTTTACTAAGTCCCTAGACTTGTGAGGATACGTATATAAAATAGCAACGGTCATCTTCCTTTTTATAAAAGAAGAAAAAGCGATCCCAGCAACTACAAGGCTTAAATCTGACTTCTTTTGGAGGTCAGCTTTAAAGCAAAGTTGAAACAGCTATGTAAGCATGGCAATAACATAAAAATTATTGATAATACTGTGTACATTCTACACAAGCTAGATCAAGCCAAAAGGGGAGGACCTCATGTTGGGATGCTCTTGGTGGTTCTGCCTGGATGCTCCCAGACAGAGCATGTGAGGGGGTGAAATGCAGTCTCTGCAGATAGGTTCAGCATTCGGGTTGGCCGCCAAGCTCTTAACATAATTATCCCAAAGCGTGCCCAAAACACATAAGTGAGCCAAATATAATGGATTGTTCATGAGAAGATTAAAAAGTCCATTCTTGGAACTAATGACGCTTCCACAGAAAAAGTATTGAAAAAGTCTGCTTGGGGAAAAAATGTTCTAGGCTTTTCTAATGAGGAAAAAAAATGTTGACACTCAATTCCAGGAAGGGGTGAATTCCTCGCATTGAAAATCTCTGCCTTTCAAGATTCAATCTTGAGGCAGACCTTTGGGAGGTGTGGGGGGGGAGGGGGAAGATATAAGTACTGCTGTGTTGTGTAGCTCTGATTAAGATTCTTCGAAAGTTGTCAGAATGTTAATGATGTGAAAATATTTGTATTTGCTTACTATATTCCTCTATCGGTCATTATTTAAAATTCTTTATTAAGTGAAATTATGTTTTTGTGCTTTTAAAAATAAAAGCTGTAAATTGCATGCATTTTGTGTTTATGTAGCAAATTTATTCTAAACATCAAATTCGGCGTCTAGTTGTCTGATAAATTCCACTTGAATCTTAAGCTTTGCCAACATCAGTTTGACAGAGCTGGTTATCTTGAGACTTGACATGATCACTAAATTTGTTAGACTTTATCTCAGAAACCTAGGTGTTGTCTTCATGCTCTTTTTTTTTAATCTTCTAGTGTGTTTCCCTTTAGGGAATTTTAGTATGTATAATGCATACAGTTATCTTGAAAATCTATGAGTATGCTGGCAAGCTTGCTTACTTCAGGCATATGCTAGGACTGGAGTCAACAAGATTCGGGGGGAGTATTGTGATAAACTGTGTTTGGGATATGCAGCTTCACTGCAATTTAGAAGGGGTTATGTGCTGATCAGTTAAAGATAGCAGTAGCAGTCTATACTAGAAACTTTTTTCTTAGGCAGATGATGTAATTAAGAATGAAAACATAAAGCTGTTTGACACCTAGGACCCAAAAATTCTTGTAAAAGAACCCAAAATATCTGAAATGTTGAGCTGAGAATTGTCATTGAGGAAAACCCAACCTGCTGCTGTGCTCCATCTGCTTCATGTGAAAGTCACGTTGTTCAAATGCCTGTTTTGCTGTATAGCCTGAGCTAGACTGATCCTTCAGTGTCCATTTTTCTCTTGGGTGGATTTGGCCAGAAATGTGAGATGTCTCTGTACCTAATGGAAGAATTCAACAAGAGAGCTTTCCAGAGGCAAGAATGTGCGCGAGATGCACTGCACAGAGGCTTAATTCCTACCAAGCACTTCTCTAAGTGCTGCTGGTGGTAGTCCAATATTTCTTTTACTGCTTCTGTGGAACAATGATTCTGCCTTAGCATAACTTAATTTTATCCATCCCTGTATTTTTTTTCCTGTTGTTTATGTTTTAAAATACTAGGCACAGGATAAAAAGATGTTCTTCTTCCTGGGATGTTGTGTTTACTTAAGCTCGTAATATCGCAAATCAATCCAAAAACTATAAGACTTACCACAGAACTCTGTCTTTGTGCCTGGGATTAGAGCTTCATAGCAGTAGGAATTACAAGAAGTAGAAAATTATTACATGATAAATGTAGGAATGCGTGTGTGTATATATAGTATAATATGTAGATACATACAATTTACAGGGATTACATAAATTTCAGGATTAACTGGTGTTAGCTGTGGAAAAAAGGAATGTTTAGGTTGCTTTATCTGTTTATTTTTACTAATGAGCAGGATGTATCAATTGGATGTACCAAAGGTAACTCTAGGAGGCAGTTGCTAAGTAATCTTAATAAATTTGCCAGCTATCTTACATCTGTTTGGTCTACCAAAACACAGAAGTAAACATCTCTCACCAAAATCCCAATTGTACTTTAAAGATGTTAGGTTAAAAGTTTATTCTTGTTCTGTTCACAAAACAAAATCTTGTCTCTTAGTAAACTGTAAACTCAGAAAAGCGGGAAGCTTAAATTAATAGAAAGTAGACTACTATGTTTTTGCTCGAAATGGACATGCAACAGAAATTTTTCTTCTTTTTACTGTTCTGTAAACTGAATCTAGTAAAGATGAGCTGCATAATCATTAAAATACCTGTGCTTCATGTGCCCTGGATGTTGCCTAAAATACACCACAGATAATACCATAAGTATGGGTCACCATAGAGTCATGAAACAAAGCACAGGGGACAGATGGCCTTTATTTCCAAGTAGGAGTGTAAAGGTCTGGGTTCGGATGATGCTGACCCAGTCATGGTGTGGGTGCCAAGGGGGATTCATCCTTTTCTTGCCGATTCTAGACCTAGCCACTGGCAAGTTAGCAAACTCAAAAGTTCAAAGTACTCTGTTCCGAACAATTAATCATTCTCAAGCCTCTTCTCCCACGAACTTCAGAGTCCCAGACAAGAGAGATAGTATGTTCTAAAGATCGTGTGTAATTCCAGTGTGAGATTAAAGTGAGAGTAAATTACAAAGCTGTCTCTCCCACAAAACACAGACATAATTGAGATGGTGCTCTTGGCAGTGGTGGCAGTATGGGGCACAAAGGGAAATGTCTCCTTAAATAGGGTCTGTGTTGTCTGATGTCTTGTAGATTGAAAATTAAGTCTTTGCACTTGCAGAAGACAGCACAAATCCTGAAACGCAGCCTGAATATGTCTTTACTATCTATGTTATTCATTGAATGCATACGGAAATTGTGATACGTGATTCAAATGATTCTTTGTTTAGACTTGTACAGTACTGTAGTACTTTTTCTTCCTGTATGAACCAAGCTTATCAATCTCGTTTGTTAGTTTGCTTGCTTCATGATGTTTTATTAATGTATGGTCTTTTAACCTTTAACAATAATAGAATATATGCAAGTTTCAGTCCCAGGATGGCTCAGAAGAGGAGCTCGAGTGGGAGGTCATTCCCACTGCTGCTGATGATGATTGTTGTGGCCTTTGTTCATTTAACTGTCTGTCCATTCACAAAAGTGGAGGAAAGCTTTAACCTACAGGCCATCCACGATGTTGTGTACCACCAGCTGGACTTGGATAAGGTGAGTTGAAAAAAGTGTTCTTTTGTGGATGCTGTTAAAGCCTGCAACATCCTTCTGTATGAGTAGGATACATGCAACATGAATATGATTTATCCTGATTTTCCTTTCTTTCTGGTTTGGCTATCTTACTTATGTTTTCCCTTTTGCAGTATGACCATCATGAATTTCCTGGAGTTGTCCCAAGAACGTTCCTTGGACCAATTTTTATCGCTGCTCTTTCCAGCCCTGCTATATACGTACTCTCTCTGTTTAAAATGTCCAAGTTTTACTCCCAGCTGATAGGTATGAGAACTTCAGTCCAGTAGTAAACATACATATATTCAAACTTGTTTTAATGTTTAACGTTGTTGTAACAGTCAGTGTTTGGATCAGTGATTAAAACTCTTTTTTGTAATGAGGGATTTTGCAAACTATAGTTACTTAGAGCCAAATTTCACCTCTGTTTTTTGGACTAATTAGCAGCACAGAGAAAGTTTTTTGCTAACAGATGTCTAACAGTGTAGAAGAAGCAAATGTCTTCAGAGAATACATTCTCATGTATACTTGCATGAAGACTTCAGAAAGTATTGTTTGACTTGGGCATAGAAGCATTGACCTCTGTGGAAAAGTATCAGGCAAGTTAAAAGTGGGTTAAACTAAATAAATTAATGTGGGTAGGTGTTTTTCTTCTTCTTTAGAGTGGCTTATATTGTGAGATCTTTTGTATTATTCTTAATAGCTTCCTATTAATTACATGTTTGTCCATGAGAGATCAATCTGATATCACTCATATTTTCCTACTTTTTTTCTTCTAATAGTCCGAGGAAGCTTGGGGCTCAGTGTGATTTACACACTATGGAAGTTGCAAAAAGAAGTTAGAAAGCAGTTTGGAGCAACTACATCAACCGTCTTTTGTCTCATAACTGTTACTCAGTTTCATTTGATGTTTTACTGTACACGAACCCTTCCTAATGTGTTTGCACTTCCTTTTGGTAAGTATTTGCATAGAAATAATTTTAAAATATAAAAAAAAAAAATCTCGTGTGGATAGTTAAAATATAGAAAAAAGTATGGTTAGACCAAATTTATATATATATATACTTGGTTACGTGGTGTGATAATGAGGTGAGAAAACTTAAGCAAGTGTGGCTTTTTTCTTTTTTACTGTGCATGCTTACAATGACTGTTGAATCTAGTTGTATTGAATCTGAATATACATGGAGTTTGTCAGACAGTCTTGAGTACACATCTCTGCATAAAACAGAGGCATTGAAAAGGCAGTAGGTACACCTGCAGTTTAAAAAAAAAAAGAAAAAAGAAAATCTGTGAACTTAATCTACACAGGAAACAGCTTTCTCATGAGACTCTGTAACAGACTCCCACAGCAAACTCTCCACCTTCCTCTTCTGGAGTTAAATGTAGCAGTTTGTACACTTAAAGAGACAGGAAAAAAAAAATCAAGATCAAAACCCTACCCTTACACATACAAGTTTTTTCCCAGAGATGACAAGAGGAAAAAATAACCGCATATGACAGATATTAGCTTAGTCACTTAATGCTTCAGTGGAAGCTGTTCAGCTAATAAAATCATGAGGTTGGTATAAGAACCTGTGTAGAGCTGAACTGAAAACAGTACAAAGAATGATTGAATTGTCAAATAAACACTGTATAGTAGCAAACTTTCCAGATCATTTTTGTAGATATTAGAAAATATAAGTTCATTTATGTGTCTGTACTGTTACTGTTTCACAAGTAATCAACTGGTATTGTTCTCTTGTATTTTGCTTAGGGTTCATGACTGCTTTACAGTGTAGTCAGTGTTATCGTGTGATTTGAACTGTAAAAATGAAGAGGTAACTTCATCTGTGGAGATAGGGTGCATCTCTGGCTAACCATGCAAATGGATTTAGAGTTCCTTCTTCCTCAGTGATCGTCGGTAGTCTCGTTTTCATATTTGAAGTGGGTTCCAGTTCTCATTAATAGAGGTTATGCTTATCCAAGAGAAGAATCATAGAATAGCCGAGTTGGAAGGGACCCACAAGGATCATTGCGTCCAACTCCTGGGTCCCCTAAAGGACCACCCAAAAAAAACCAGACCATGTGTCTGAGAGCATTGTCCAAATGATTCTTGAACTTCAGCAGGCTCGGTGCCATGACCACTTCCCTGGGGAGAGAAACCTAACTCTTCAGCAGATATTGAGCAATAATAATTATGAGCCTTAGTTTGAAAGGCTTTTAGTACTCCCTTAAGTTTGAAGGAGATGGGGATCAAAAGCTATTAAATGTACTGTTTAGAAAGAGTTGCCAGCTGTTCCTTCACTGGTTATGCTTTTCCTAATTACTTAATCATCAGCTATAGTATGTTGCTTGTTTTTTCTAAATCATATTTCTTTTATTAGTTTCTCTGATGAGGGAGAATGTCTGGACCAGAAATAATAGGAAGACCAAGGTGGCAAGGGGTGGGAAGTTTGAGTAACAAGGTGCCTGTATTAATAAAAGCATTACCTTGTAGGAAACAAAAGATTCAGACAGTTTTGTTTTATTTTTACAGTGTTGCTGGCATTGACATATTGGATACAGCAGAAGCAGAGGCAGTTTGTTTGGTTCTCAGCTTTGGCAATTATAATCTTCAGATCAGAGCTCGCCATATTCTTAGGCCTCATGCTTCTGGTAACATTATTAACTAAAAGAGTCTCCGTTTTAAAGGTGCTTTCCCATGCTGTTCCTGCTGGAATTTTTTGTTTGGGTAAGTATTTGCTTAAGGGGCAAAAAAAAAAAAAGCCACGTGCTAAATTTAGCGGAATTCTGGAGATTTGCCTGTCTTCTCTGGTGACCTGGCCCTTGTGGCTTTGTTTTTTTGTGTGTGATCCCATTTGCTAGTAACACCGCAAACATAATTATTTCTTAGAATGTTTGTGAGTTAGGAACTAATTGTGCACAGAGCTGTAGAAAGATTCTATGACCTCTGCCTTTAGATGCTTACAGTATCTAAAGTCCTGGCTTGGATGTGCATGTTTAGTTCAGTATAATTAGTACCTGTCTTCAGTCACAGGTGCATCATCAACTGTAGTATGTATTGCTGTGATGACAAATGAAACCTGGATAAAATGGAAGTGTGACAGACATAGATGCTGAGCAAAAGGGTTGTGGGGAGTGTCACAGTTCAGCTTTGTGGGTGCTTGAGGTTTCAGAAAATTCTCTTTTGTTTTGCTGTTTCTTTATTACATTAATTTGAACAGCTTGTGTGATTATCTGCAATAGTTTGAGAAATTTTCACAGAAAGCTTGTGCACATAAGTAAGCTTTTCTGCCAGCCTACCTAATAAAAATGCTGTCATCAGATGGCTGATGATGAACTCTGGTAGTGTGCTGTGCTTTGCACAGTGTGGACAGTAGAAACAATGAATAATCATTGCATGTGCGTTTGGAGGTACCTCATAGTGTAAGAAGCCCAATGGGAATTTTGACTAGTACTCCCAATCTCACCTTGGCAAAGTTTGCAAATAACCAGAGCAATTCTCACAGAGCTGAGTGGAGGAGATGGGACTGATGGATTTGCTGCTCTTTGTCTGCCTTTAATCCCTTATCATTCTTCCCTCCCACCTAATAAATAGTAACAGAATTCTTAACTTATCAGCTTTACAATAAAAATCCACTTAGTATCATTTAAGTTAAAACATATTTCTTACCATTCATTATACTTAATGCTCTAACATTCTTTTTAAAACAAACTTTAATTAAACCATTGTATTTCACACCTGGGGTTGGAGTGGGGGAAAGTCTCAAATCAGATTCCTATCTGACATGCTTCTATTAAGACTTCCATTAAGAAGTGCCTCCCTCTCCTGCATTTCCATTACAAGACTGACAGATTCAACCTACTCTGTGGCTTTGGGTGAGGCTTACAGTACATGTTCCAGTTTGTGTTATTCTTGTCAGTCAGTGTGCACTGTGGATGTGCTTGTTTGGTTTTCTGTTTTTTAATTCACTCAGATTTGTATTTAATTCTTTCAGGGCTAACAGTGGCTGTGGATTCTCTGTTCTGGAGACAACTCGTGTGGCCTGAAGGGAAAGTGCTCTGGTATAATACAGTTTTAAACAAAAGTTCCAACTGGGGAGTATCCTTTGAAACATTGGGGGGAAAAAGATCTTTAACACTGTCAGTTAAAGCAAAAGCCTATTCCTGAGACTTAGTTTTGGTGTTGACGAAATACTTAATGAAAAGTTGAATTTATTTGAAGTGTATGAGGCAATGTCCATTTCTTAGACCTTTCCTTAAATTTAAACTTTATTCTGTTTACTTTTTCTTTTTGCTTCTTCATGTTCTACCGGTATAAATCCAAGTTTCTTCCCTGTAATTTTTCTGTATTTCCTTATTATTAGCGTTGTTTGATATATCTTCACTGGACAATAGGCAAGTAACTAGGCAACTACTTCTATTTCTTAAAGAGTAAGGGAGTAAACCATATCCCAAGTGATTTGTGTTATACAAAAAAGGGTATTTGTAAGATGCAGAAAAAATCTACTGCATATTTGCAAAATTTATGTATGCTACTGTAAAAAATAGGTACTTTACTTGCTAGTGAGAGCATCCTTAACTCTCCTTTTTCACCTTGAAGACCTCCCCCTTCTTGTGGTATTTCTATTCAGCCCTGCCTCGTGCGTTGGGATGCAGCATTATATTTGTACCTTTAGGTGCAGCAGAAAAGAGAACTCGGATATTACTTTTGCCAGCACTGGGCTTTATATTCTTGTATTCATTTCTCCCACACAAAGAGTTGCGTTTTATCATGTATACTTTCCCGGTCTTCAACATAGTGGCTGCTAAAGTATGCTCACGAATGTAAGTTTGAAATTACTTTTTTTCTTTGTGAAAATGTTTAAAAAAAAAAAAAAAGGAAGTAAAGTTGTTACTACTACTTTTATGCACATCTTTCTATCTTGGAGTGTGGGTTATCTTAAGATGTAGAGATGCTCTAGAAAAGAGGTCTGCATCATTGTACCCATGCTACTAGTGAGGGAAACTAAGAAAGAAAACCGATAGGATTTGGAAGGATAATTTGGCAAGTCCATGGCAGAGTCAAGAGCAGAGTTCTGATTTTTCTATCATGCTATTGCAATTCAGTTTATTTTATTCACCAGAGAAAAAGATGTTCCAGGGTACTAGTATGCTGTTAACTTAACTTTCCTCAGAAGGTAGTTTAATATATAAGTGGAGCTTATAAAATATGGAGTTTGTATTAAATAGTTAAACTTGGGTATACTGAGTATACAAATTTAAGTTGAACTCTGAACTTATTTGGAGGAGAATACATTCATAGCTAGAACTTAGAAATACTTAGTTTTACTGATAAGCTTTCAATAGCTTTATTAATGAGAATATTGAAATGTGTTTGTCGCTAGAAGCTAGTCTTGTAGCAATTAACAATAAATGCATTCCTTATACACAATTGTAATAAATTTTGTACTGATCTTTATTACCTAGCAGTGGGGTTTTCATAAAAGTTTTATCACAATAATAAATAACCATTATGAAACAAAAGTAAGTCTTTTTTTCTTTTTCTTTTTCTTTTTTTTTTTTTCCCCCCCCTCTCAACAGCCTGAATAACTATCGGAAGTCCTGGCTGTATAAACTTGGATCTTTTTTTGTTATAATGCATCTTGTAGTTAATGCTGCCTATTCAGGGACATCGTTATATGTTTCACATTTCAATTATCCCGGAGGAGTAGCAATCCAGAAGCTTCATGAGTTGGTACCTTCAACAGCAGGTATGTAAAGCCGTTCTGAGGTATGTTCACCTAATTTCAAATGTAACTTTAGTGATAGTGTATCTTAATATGTATTGGACATTGCTTCTTTGTACTATTTTTTTGCATATTTTCTGTTCCTATTCTGTTTATTTAATAAAGTGTTCTTACAATAATTTTAAAATGTTTTTGTTTATGTAGAGGTCTCCGTTCATATTGATGTGGCTGCAGCACAAACAGGAGTCTCTCGGTTTCTAGAAATCAATTCAGATTGGAGGTATGTTATGAACATGGTATTTTGAACTGAAGATTAGCATCTGCTTTTTTCCTTTTTTCTTTTATTTTTTTAATATACACAGGGCAAGCATCACAAATTAGTTTTTTGGTACAGCATATTTATTCAGCCAGGTCAAGAACAATGTGAATCTTTGGAGATTTTTAAAGAATTTGGAAATATGCAGTGCTGCCACTTGAGGAGTTGATCACTGCAATGTTTTTGAATTGTATTGGTTATTTTTTGCCTGAATATCATAGAATCTCTAAAGATATCAGAACAGTGTAAAAAAACAAACAAACAAAAAAAAGTACGTTACTAAACCCCCAAATATCTTTAATACAGCTATGTTTGGTATTTCACTAGATCTTATAAAAAACAGAAGTAGAAGAACATTGTTCTTGGTAGAACAGTATATATAATTGCGGGAAAATCTCATTTTATTTGTTTTTAAGTGATGTGTTGCAATGTGAGGCTTATCTATGTGTTAATATTAAAAGTCTATTTTAATGTGGAACATCCTTCAAGTGGATGGTACTGAAGTTGCTGTCATGTGGATTATTGGTCGTGTTCGTTAGCTCTGAGGGAGAGCAGTTGAGTGCTTTGTTACCATGAGCAGCAGTGATGTACAAGCCATACTAAGAATCAGAATCATTATTAAACGAATAGTAGGATATTTTTGTGGAATGGCGTTGTTTGCTTTTCAGGATATATACCGAAAAGGACATCTTTCTGGTCTTAGGCCTACCTCATCAGCTGAAATCAGTTTCTAATTTAAAATGTAAACGAGAAGCCTCACTTTATACTTGCACAAAACAAAAGCAGTACAAACAGATTTTGGTTTACGGTTAAGATGTATTCAGAACATGGAGTTTTCTTCCCAGCCGAAGTGTTCAGAATAAAATGAAGAAATACAGTTAATTTATTGGCATGTTTTGAGATAAAAAGTATCTTGAAGGAAAATTGTGCTTCTGGGACAACTAGGAATAATCTAGCTTGCTATGCCTTACTTTATTGTTATGCTTTCTTGTAATGTTGTGATGGTACTGACAGCTAAAAGCTGAATTTGTCATATTTACCAATCCAGTGTTTATTTCTTTTTTTTTTTTTTTTTTTACATGTTCAATCTAGAGAAGGTTTTAATACGTGAACAGTCAGGAAGAGACAATAAATTTTTAGAGTACAAGTGATGGAGCATGTATGATAGTTAAAATGTTACATTCTGGTTTTGAATATATTTAAACATGCACTACTCTTAAATGTGACTATAAATGCAACTTTGCTTCTAAAACAATGCTTAATTTCAATGGGCTTTTTCAGATGGTGAGGGTTTTTGTTTGTTTGGATGTCTTGTTTTTGTCTTTTTTCCTTCACTTTTTGCTTGCAAGGCTGTAGTGCAGTGGAATTGAAAAGCAAATGAATAATATCCCCGTCACTGATGGATGGTTCATAGCTTTGCAGCTATAGGGTACTTTGTCTGTATCAGTTTTATCTTTTCCCCATCATAAAAAGGCCTCAAGGGAGGGCTGATTCATCGTAAAGTTTCACAAAAAAGGGTCAGGCAAAACCTTCAACAGAGCATCATACACAGGACTACCATGTTGTCTGACAGCACAATAGCGCAGGGGTTAGTGACACCAGCTGTCCATTTTCTCTTTATCTAAGGATGTGACAGTCTTTCAGATAGGTGAAATCTAACCTACCGTCTTCATAGACAGATTTATGGATGGAGTGGCTATGAAGACTGATGATTCATCAGGATAACTACAGTCCACAAATAGAAGTGTCTTAAAAGTTAAAAGCTTTCAGTGGTGTGCTTAGATTAGATCTATATGCCTCAAGAAAAATTCAAGGGATCCATTATTTTTCTTCAAAGGGTGACTGAAAGAGGCTTGGTGCAGATTCTTACACAGAACAGGTGTTACAATCTTGTCTTCAATTAGTGCAGTCTCTTTGAACCAGGAATAAATATGCTATGTAAGCTTAAAGTATTTTAAAAATAATAAAATTCAGAAATGCTTGCAGCCAGATGAAAGGCCTTTTATTTGCTGATGAAAAAAATGCAAAATTAGTACTTGGTTAAGCTGCTATGAAGTATTTCATTCTTTCTGCCAGCTTGAACACACGTACTATCCTAACTGGCATTACAACCTTTTTAGAAATAGCAGATTAAATTAGTGTGCAAGATTTTTAGAAGAAAGCACCTACTCAGTGTGCAAGGTCTACTTCTGCATTTCATTAATAATCCACACAAATCCTCCAGTTCGCTAGAGTGCTTGTTGCTTTAAATACCTTAAATGTTAGTGACTTTGCTATCTCAGGGAATGCTGTAAAATTATAGTGAGGTTATTGTTACCAGTTTTTCATAGAGAATTCAGGCAAGTGGGAAGCCAGCTCAAAAAAAAAAAAAAAAAGGCTACACATGGCTGAAGATGCAACCAGGATTTATTCCTAGGTGCATCTAAGAGTGGTTAGGGTTGGGATTGCACCACTTTATTACTGGTGTCCACTGCAGTAACAAAAGCCACAGACTTGAAGAAGCTACTTGTGAAATGGGTGGGAGGAGTCAGGCACCTAAGAACAGGAGCTACAAAAGCTGGTGGAGAGTAGTTTGCAGAAAAGGGCAACAGGAAGGGTGAACTACGCCACTCTTCACTTGGCTTACAGAATATGAACACTCTGTATATAGTTAGTTAGATACCCGAGACTGTCATGTCATAAACTAAAGGTAAGTAACCTGCAACTTAACCTCTACCATCTGTACTGTTTCCCATTGTTAGCATAGAATATCTTTTTGGAATATAGACCAAAGATTTGAACCCAGGTCTCGCACTTTCAGAAATACAGGAAACAATGGTCTATGGAGTGTTGTGGGCTTGATTTAACTTACTCTTTCCCCTTTTGAAGATGTTGGATTGAGGACTCCATTAGGACTGAAGTGTCCAGTATGAGCATCCTAGCCTTTGGGCTATAAATTCTACCTGCCTCTCCTATCTTCAGTGAATGAATAAATAACTGTTGCGAAATAGCGCGGTGTCTTCATGGGACAGTAAGCTCAAGATGTAGAAAATTAGGTTCATACATCTCTGTGAGAAAGACACTTCAGCTCAGTTCTGAGCTTAGATCAGACAGAGTGACTGAACTTACACCTGAATTACTCACATCCCCGCCAAATGCTTAAGTCACTTGGTTTCTCATCACTTAAAGTCTCTCTACAGCTAGACTGAATATAAACCCTTTCAATAAATGTATCAGTGGACATGTTAGTTTGGAAACTCAGTAGTTGGCTTTTATAAAATACATATATATGTGTGTGTATATATTTAATAACATCTGTGTTAAGGTACTCAAACAGGTTTATAAAAGCTGACCCAAAGTGACCTGACTAACACTTAGTAGATCAGGAAATAGAACAAATAACAATGCTGGGTTAACACTATAATTGCCAGGCTGTTCTTCCTGCAGTGTATAGGGAAGCCTCTTCCCTGCTCTTTTCTGGGGCTCCTACTTTAATGTTTCTATACCAGAAGAAAGGTTTCTGCTGAAGTGTTTCATAACTCTTTTTGAAAATAAAAAAAAAAAGTCTCATTCAAACATGAGTTCTTGTAGAACAAAACTTAGAAATAAGTCCAGAGTTTTCTGCAGTCTTAGGTTTTGCTGCTTTTTCCACAAAACTCAGAGTACTAGATGAGAAATTTTCGAGGAGTCCTGAAATAGACCACAGTAACAGCAGAAAGACTTTCCTGGATCAACTGGTTCCCTAAACTCTTCAAAAATAGCATTTTCTTTCCCAGTACTAATTGATTTTAAAAAGGGATGTGACTGAGAATGTTGCAGTTGTATGAATGTAAACAAGCCTTCTGTATTCCTTACAGGTATGACAAAAGAGAAGATATTAAACCAGGAGACCAACTGATGTTTTCTTACACACACATACTGATGGAAACGAACCCTCTTCAAATATCACATTACAAGACAACCCACAGGCCACTGGCAAATATACCTGGCATCAGTAAAATTGGGCTGAACCTTACTGCACTACCTCCTTTTACTTTAAACTTAAAGCCAAAATTAGTACTGTTGGAAAAACTTCCTTTATCATCCTGACTGTGAATTTTAAGTCTTTTGATGTAACTTTGCTGATGACTGAATAATGTATGACAACAGAAAATTGTCATTCCAGCACTGCAATTCAGCTTCTGTGAAAAGGTACAGAAAATCTTTGTACTTATCGATATTTAGCTCCGTCCTCTTTCTTACATTAATAGTACAATGCATTCCTAGTCCATATATACTCAAATACCAAGTTAGATATTATTAGGTGTGTTTAAGAGAAGCTACCTCCAAGTTTAGTGCTCTTAATTAAAACTTGTCTACTTGGTTTGGGTAGCTGTCTGTTTCATAATGCAGCACAAGTATGTCCTAATTGTCCTATATAAGATACATTATGGAACAGGATTGTGCTATGGCAATAATTTGATATGTAATCTACGTGTGCACAGATGCATTACTTGATTTATCTGCTGGACTGTAACCCCCTTAGTTGTCAGATTGCCTGTGTGAAACTTGAATGATGTTATCAGCCTAGGAAAGCCATATTCATTGTAGCTTCATCACAATACCTAATTGTGCCCTGTGGGCTACCAAACTAATTAAAGGGAAAGGTTCACCTAAAAAGCAGTTGGACCTCTTGGCAAGCACTGTCTTGTAACAGACTTGAGCATTGGTTATATTTATTCCAATAGTTCATGAATAAGCAGTACAACTTGGATTTCACAGGAAACTTTTTTTTTAAATAGTATTTTCCCTCTACTGCAGTATCTTAATTTGCAGTACAAAAGTTTACCTATGAAAATATGTAATCAAGTACACTTGAAGATGATAGGTGTTGTTTTGTTTCTTTATTAAATAGTCCTTTTGGAATTAAAATGCTGTAACATAGCATGTTCTGTAATCTCTTCTTTATTAGATGTCTTTGTTAGGGATGTCTGCCTAGACTGCAGAATGGAAGAAGTTAAGGGGTAAACTAAGGAAGAAAACATTTCAGTTAGAACCAGTTGTAACATGACAGGGACTGCACTAGTGTAAAAAATCACTATTTGTGAAATAAGAATGGGCAGAAAGCTGTTTGTTGCTGACTGAGAACTTAAGAGTAAAAAATTCTTATTGAGTAACTTTTTTTTCCCATTCTTTGAGCATATTTCATTCAGGAACTACATTTACCTGCATTATGTTTCAGTTTTTAGGATCATGTTTTCTTTTTATCCTCTAGATTATGTATCAAGGAACTGATCTGGTGGGGTGGAGCCTGCTCCACTGTGGGTGGCTGTTGTGCAGGCTTCCTCACACCAAGATCTGGCAAAGGCAACCTGCAGAACTTGTCAGTCCAGTCCCTGGCTCCTCTTGAAATTGCAATCATTGAAGTATTATCTATTTGACTTGTCTTTGGAAGAAAACTCAGCTTCCTTCAGAGCCAATTTGGACATCAACTAATTCACATGATACAGAAGGAAGTAAATGTGCAAATAGCTGAGAACTTGGAACACTATGAAGGAAAACTTTTGAGTAAGGATGTAAGTCCTTATATGTAAAGCCTAATCATTTACTTTATATAACTCCCCCACAGTGTAAGCTGTAACTTGAGAACCTGAAGTGAAATTTATCGTGCCCAAGGTGTAGACAAATATCTGGCGGTGGTAGCAGTGTGTACTACTGCTCGCAGTCTTGGTGCTGCTGAAGGTAGAAGCTATGAGCTCAATTTGGCCTGTTTAGTGTGTGTATATATATAAATTATATGTTGGGGGGAGAGAAAAGAAAATAAAAATGCATATGTAAAAGGCAGAAAAGAGATTCTGAAGTGCAGTTTTGGGCAGTCTCTAAGTTTCTCCTGTTACATCTTGAGCTATATATGTGGTTCTTGGAAAGTGCTTAGTTCTTCGATCTGAAACCTGGCTGGGATTGTAGATCATGACCCATGCAGCACTGTAGCACCAGGGGCTGGGTAGCTGACGTGACAGTCAGTAAGTATAGCCCCCTACAACATAGGCTGGGAGTGTTACTGTAACCCACGCTCTGAATAAGACAGGGGCACCTGTCAAACTGCAGCAAAGATCACTGCAGTTTTTCCCCAAAGGCCACTTTCAGTGTAAAAAAAAAAAAAAAAAAAAAAAAAAAAAAAAGTCATTGGAAGAGAAAATAAAACCATCTCACCTTTCTTTCAAATAATACTCTCATCTGGTATGTCTTGTGTTGCCTTTCTTTAAAGCAAGTACCTTCCACAAGTGAGTTTTTTTCTTTTAATATAGATCAATGTCAGGATATTTTCGTGGAAGAAAGCATGTGTGTAAGCCCCCTCAGATGTAAGAGGACATTAAGGAAATCTCCCACTCCCTTTACAAACTTGGGTAAACACCCAGTTTGCTTTTAGGAGCTAGGGTTAGAAGAAGCCTTGAGTTACTACAGGTGTGGTACAGGAAAGAGACATGGTCTGAAAACTTACTAGGAAGTTACAAAGGGACTTCAACATAATAAATTTGTCATTAACATTCATAAAACTCCTTTTGTCTTGACTGATTACAAACAGCCTTGGCTTAGGCTATAGCTTTTCATAATGGAATGAAGCAAGCATATTCAAGTAATTGAAGGTTGAAATAAACAAAGCAAAAAAAATGGTATGGTCCACCTGTAAGTTATGTTGTGACTATGACAGTCAAACACAGAATGGAGTTGTAAATAAAATGCATTGAATGTGTATAATGCTGCTATAGAACAAAATTTTAGCACGTCTTATGAAATTCCCTGAAGGTCATTGAAGGTTGTGTAACATCACATTTGAAGCTTGACTTAATTTCTTACAAGCAACATTTGTTCCTGTAAATAGTAAGGCTAACAAAAGATTTGGGCACAAATGTCAAAATGTTGTGTCACCAGGAGTAGCCCAGAGATGGTAGATAACCACTGTCCTGTAGCATAAGGCTTAGGAGAGCTTGTGTAAAACTAAATAAAGCAGTTGCATATTGCATGTAAAAAGTTGCAGGACTTACTGGTAGAAGATATTTGGATGACGAAAGTAAAAGCAAGTTCAAAATAGGATTAAACAGCTCACTCTTCCATTACAAACTAAAAAAGATTAAGGAATAATTTCCAGTTCACAGATTCTCTTAAAGCATTCAGAACTATATTTTTATCCATACTGCATTTACCTTATACCTGTCCTCTGTATGTGCTGTGGGTCTCAAGAGAATGTGGGGGTGAGGAGGGCTGGAGAATGGTTGTCCTGGATCAGACATAAAATATATTTCTCTGTTAACGAGAGAAATACCTCTCTGAGAATGGTTGGAACCTTACTCAAGTTCTTTCCTTTACCATCTGTGTCATTCAAGCCCTCAGAATACATCAGTGCAACATAGGCACATAACATGTTTGGAAGCAGTTTGATTGTGTTCCTTTTTCTAGTCCATCCATGGTCCTGTCACACATCCTCTTGGTGAAACAGATTACACGTTGGGGTGAACAAGATGGAGAATGTGCTATAGTTAACTGCTCTAGGACTATACCACTATTCCTAAGCACTTCTTTCTGTAATGCTAAGGAGACTGAAAGCTGATTGATTGATAATAAAATTCATGGACTCCTTTACTGTATCTCAATTTCAATGTGAGTGAGCATGTGTTTCCCTTGCATCTAAGCACTTTTCCAGATACAAGAGAAGCTACACAAAAGACTAGTGCTGCCTTCCTCACTTTATTATGTTCATTCTTAAATTCACCCCCCTGGAGAAGTTTCCTTGTAATTTAGTATTCAAAGAGTCTTTCTTTTACCGATGACTTCACTTTCTATTTGCAGGAAAAGAACAAAACCACAGACTGAGTTTATCACCAATGTCAGCAAGACTGTTTAGCCACAGCTTTCTCAGTTAGCTGGTTACATAATTAGTCTCAGCTATGTCTTAAAATGAAAGTTGTCACTATCTGCTTAACATACAACACAGAAGATTACAATGGCGTTTGCAAAAGTTGCTGGTTTGGTGACAAAGAATACCTCACAACAAAGATTTTCTTTAAATCAAATATGATTCTTATGCTTAAGTAAATGACACATTTTATATGCAACTTAAATCAACTCTTTAGATTACCATGAGCAAATACAGCTACTTCTGGTTGTCTGTTTCAGACCTTAGTTTAAGATAGCAAGGACAGTCAGTGGTTTTTTTTCTTCTGAAATTCCGTATCTTACTGTCATGGACAGTCTTTCAGAAATTCTGCTTTATTTCAGCTGCAATTGCTTTTTGTTCCATAGCAAGGCTTGATTTCTGTCCATTTACGTCAAGTGTAAGGTAGAAATGCTTTCTGAAATGGAATCCCTCTTTTCCTTTAAAACTGCCAATTTAAATCCAAAGACTAAAACAAGGTATTGGTTCACACAGAGGAAAAAAATAAAAAAAAGTGCAGGGGGTTGGGGGTAAGGACTGTTTAGGCATAGCTAGTCTTTGGAATCCAAGCTGATACTTAAGTTGGGCACATCACTGTGGTTGCCATTTCTGGTTGGTATGTGCATTTTATGAAACAAAGCAGTTTGGGGTCAGTTTTGCCAGGAAGGTAAAGAATTGCTCTTCCTTGTTGCTAAGAATAAAGCAAAGGATGAATGTACTTGTCTTGTGGGAGGACTATAATATTTGGTTTTAAGAAAAAATGTAAATCTGTAATTAGAAAGTGATATTCACTAATTACAGGTTTATTTTTCCTGGGTTTGGAAATACCTAAATGCAGTTACTGTCAGCTCTGTATAGTTATGAAAATAAATACTATTTTAAGGGACAGATGTTTCAACAACTGTACACATCTGCTTTGAGCTTGTCATTTCTATCTACGTTTTATTAATCACATCCTTATGCCACAATTAAACTGTTCTAGATTGAGATTTCTATCCTTTGTAAATTGAGAAGGTATTCTTGGATGGTGGGGAGAAGCCATGAACATTCCTAGTAGATGGTCACCAGCCAAATTCTGCAGTCGGGCAGGTTGACTTCATTTTTACTTGGGTAGGAAAAGAGGCCAAATGGGAATGGCAGTATGGGAGGAGCATTATTCACAGGTTACTTTTGCAGAATATATATATATATATCAATAAATACATTATACACCTTTGCAAGACTTGAGTTTTTTTAAAAGACCATTACACATATCTACTTCTTCCCCTTCCTATATTCAGTACTGCAAAATATTTCTTGCTGCAGTATGCATAGTGGTTACACCTGCCTACTCTTAGAAGACACAGAAGCTATTGGATCCTTACAATGACATCTCTAGTACCATCTGCTCCAAATTTATTTCTGAAGTTGCTAATGTACTAAAATTAACTGTTTAAATAAAGTTTGTATCACCATTGGGGATCCACCAAGTCATTACATGTTAGGGAACTATGCTGCTGCAGGGACTGGTCCAGCAAAAAACTCAACTTGAAAGCTCCCACTTAACAGAGCTTGCACTTCCTTATAGTCTGGGAGAATATGATGTAAAAATAAGAGTTTTCAAATAAAGTAATTTCATCACATATATTAAGTTGCAATATATGAAAGCTTGACATCAGGAGGGGGTTCTTCACAGAGAGGGTGGTTGCACACTGGAACACACTCCCCAGGGAAGTGGTCACTGCACCGAGCCTGTTTGAATTTAAGAAGAGATTGGACTGTGCACTTAGTCACATGGTCTGAACTTTTGGGTAGACCTGTGCGGCGTCAAGAGTTGGACTTGATGATCCTTAAGGGTCCCTTCCAACTCAGGATATTCTATATTCTATGATTCTATAAAGCTTATCATTCACTAAGATTAAAAATAATCTTTATAAAGTAAAAATCAATACAAAACCCATGCATACTACAACTTACCTCAATACTTCAATGAAAGCTTTCAGCTTTTGAAGTCATTCATTTCTCAAAGTCAGTGCTTGAACTGGAAATGGAAATAGCTTGTATAGAAGAATCAAGACTTACATCCAAAAAATAGCAGCTTTGTGCTTCCAGTCTCTCCTGTTTTTATTTAAGAGATTCCATGTCTGATTTATTTTTTTTTACACCCGTGTACTGTCTCTTAAAAAGCTCTAATATAAGCTTAATATTCATTCATAACCAAGCTGATACTGCAACAGTACATTTTTAAGAGCTAATACCCTTCAAAAATGTAAATTGCACTTGCAAATGAAGTAGGCTGCTTCTTAAAATGTAGTTTTATGAAGTAGTTTTGCTTCTTAAAATAGTCACTAGTTTTCATGCTCTCAGGAAAATTTTTGACAACACCCATGACTATACAATTAAGTATCCCTAAGAAGGAGAAGATACAAATTGAGTGCTATCTATTTCAGAATGCCATCATTACAGCTTTCCACACAAGAGTAGCAGGAGCTACAGTACAGTCTGCTTTAAAGCATGGGAGCCACAATCCTCGTTTCCAGAGAACTGGGATTTTCAAGTAAGCTCCTGCTGGTATGGCGTGGCTCTACAATGCTTTAAGCCTAAGGCTGTATTCATAGTCATATGCAAGTCTTGAGTGAAAATTATCCCTTGTTTAAAAACAAGAAAAGTTCCTTCACCCTCCACCTACCTCTCTCCTGGTTTGGAGAGATTAAACATCTTACAAAGGTCAAGGCTGTATTCATGGTTAAAATGTAGAGGAAAAAAAATTGAGATAATAATTAACCAGTAGCCATTTAAATGTGTTTCTCAATAAACTGCTTCAAACTCACCTAGTTCAAACTATACATGAACTAGAACAAGTTGTTTTATTACTGCAGAAAAAACGTGTACCTGTTCTCATGTAACCCTACAATAACAGAGAAATGCTGGCTATTCATAGTATTACAAATTACTGCATTTTGTCTTCAGTATTTTAAAAGGTATTAGTTCTTCCTAAGTGCACTATATAATTTACTGAAATAGTTCAGGTCTAAGTGTAACTGACTGAGTAACAATTAAAATACTTGAAAGGACAGAATGCTTAGAGGAAGATCTTGGAAACCCAAAAGTCACCTGGGAAAGAGTTCAATAAATCTGTTGATTACCTTGAGTGAAATTAAGAGAACTTGAATCTATGTGTTTATGTCCAAAGAGATACATGGAAAACCAGTCTTTTCACACAGCATGTTCTGATTACATATGTATGATTACAATTAAATTACTGAATGGTTGTCTTTAATCCATCTAAAAAAAAAAAAAAAAAAAAGGCAGTGTTGACTACCACTAGAAAATTGCAAATAAAATGTTTAATTTCAGAAACTGAGTTCACCATTTATAAATACACTAAAACATAGTAAATGCAAAATTAGATTAGGCATAGGTACAGTATTTTAACAAAGCTACAACATTTCTAAAAGGTCATAGACAAATGATGACTTGTTTCCCAAAAAGTATTTAATGAAAACTGAAATGAGGAGATTAATCTTTCTAGAGTTAAAAAAACATTGGAGAACATTCCTTTCAAATTAAAATGCTGGCTATTCTTTTTCCCACCTTATTTGAAGTTTTGAGGGCTCTATGTCCCATTTGCCCGATGGCCTGTGACAGTTAAGAACCAACCCTACTACATAAAATTCTAAGCAGTGCACCATATCCATAAGGCTATTACTGAAAATCAGAAGATCAGTTATTTCTGTACTAGGAGCTTTAAGATGGGCTGTTCTACACAACTGAAATTACTTTGGGAATAAGGGCTCAATTTTTACAATCGGGAACCTTACAGTTTCGATGCACTACAGATTAGAAAAGGTTTTAGAATGACATTACAGTCTTCATTATAGATTTCTTGCTTTTTTTTTTTTTTTTTTTGTACACAGCATTAAATAACAAGCATTGATTCATAAACTTTGATAAACCTTCCAAAGAGCTTTTATAAATAACCAGAATATTTTTTTTTAGTTCATTTAAAATGTAAAACCTGAACAGGAGAAGCCGGGATGGGAAGCTTTACTACAGACTGCTGGATAACCGATGTTCCACATCATCTCAAATTTAAGATTTGTTTTCAGATACTAAGTCAATAGTCTCCTGTAAAAACACCTTCGTCCATAACGCTTCTTTATCTTGTAAGTACTTTCGGGCTTGCAGTTAAGAACATCACATAATAAAAAGATGGCTCAAACCCCATCTTTCATCTACAGCTTTCTTTCAACAACTACAAAAGCTGTTTTGTTGCAATTAAAGCAATGTTCAACTAAAATACAGTACCTGGTTTATGGTGTTTACATAATAATTGAATAAAAAACTACAGAATAGAACTGTTTACATCTTTTTTTTTTTTTGCCATTCTATTAAAACAAATGACTGAGCTTTTTTAAAGTTCATTTACAATTATGGATTAAAACCTACATAACTTTGTATAATTTGACAAGACAGACTATCTCTAGTATGAACTTTTAAAAAACATATATACAATATCTGGCCTGAAGTACTATGAATAAGGCACATGTAGACATATTGAAAGCTGAAAAAAAAAGGAACTAAAATTTGGAATTATAGTCACTGATTAGATGTCATACATGGCCCCTATTGGAGCAATTTAACAATCCAAGTTACAGATAGTTAATATCCAGTGAGCAACAATAGATTTAGTCTAGCAGTTTGTTCATTATTTTCAATACTGGAAGTATATTAAAGGAAGATTCACTTTCAAAAAGATAAGTTTTTCAAAATGTTCAATCATTAATCTTGACTGACTAAAGTTGTTGCTTTCATTGGATGTATTGAACAATCTCTCTGAAGGAACAATGCTTGGTGGGCAACCCAAGAACCTGACAGCCAATTTTGACAGTACTGGCCAAGATGACTTCTTAAAGTTCCAGTAAGTTAGAGGATCACAGTTATGCTCAAGCACTTCTTCCTCCAAGTAAGAAAGCACCATTTCTTCTGGTAACTTTGCTCTCTCTTTCAGGTCTTTCGTTTTCTTCATGTCACCCATGAGTGACCAAAGATTATCTTCCCCATATGAATTTGTAGATGGTGAACCTATATCACATCCATTGGAAACAGGTTTATCATCTTCTGAGGTAGAACTCATTATTTCCAGCTCCCTGATTAAGTCTTGTTTATATTGTTCAGCCTCCTCTTCTGTAAATAAGGATGTTTTATAGCGGGGATCCAGAAGCGTTGCAAAAATGTACCTTGGATCATGAAGCGTGGAGGACAATCTACTCACCATAGCTTCTTTCAAAGATTTCAGCATGGTATCTATGCCCATTGTTTCCTCAAATAGCATTTCTATTTTCCTGTTAAGTATGTGAATCATTGGAATCACCTGGCTTAAAGTAGACATGTGGGTACTCATCTCCCTGCTTGCAGCTTCGAAAGGCTTAAGAGCATGACACACTGACTGCATAACTTCCCACTGGTCACAGCTTATTAGCTCCCGAAAGCTGCACTCTATTGACATTTCATCAATTGCTCTTTTCTGTTCAATGAGACGTTCAAGCATATGAAATGATGTATTCCACTTGGATGGAACATCTTGTATAAGCTGATGCTGAGGTAACTCGTACTCTTTTTGCAGCTCAGCTAACTTCTCTTTTGCTTTTGCTGACCGATGAACACGTTCACAGATCTTTCTTGCAATACTAAGCAAATTCTGAACCATTCTCTGGCTTTTAATAGCCTCATTTACTATGACATTAACAGTGTGACTAAAACATTGTACACTTGAATGATCACCTTCATTTAAAGTTTTTTCTATACTCTGATTATCAGTAACAGTAATCCCAATCTGAAGACCAATGGAAGTAATCCATGTTTCCCACCAATACTCTAACTGCTTTTGAATACTGATTCCATTGTAGTCACAATCAATCTGTGATACATTTAATAGTGCTGAACAATGGTAATCCTCACACTGCGGTCGAAATGAAGACTCAAACGTTACCCAATGAGCTGTAAGGGTTAGATATTCTCGTGTTTGGTTGCTCATCCATATTCCAGACGTAAAATGGATCACTCCACTTTCAGCTTCTTTAAGATGTGAAATAATTATTTGTTTTACATTATCATACATATTGGGAATTGCTGTCCTAGAAAAGTAAGATGGAGAAGGTAAAGAATACTGAGGTTGCAAGTATTCAAGCAGCCTGTTAAAGCCAATGTTGTCTACAAAAGAATATGGCTGAAGG